CCCTTGCTGGCTCTGGCACTGTGTGCCTCAGGCCAAGGTCTAGATCAGGACCTTTTTGGCAATCATGAAGTGGCTAAAGTCCTAGGGCTGGATCTGCAGATCCTTGAGCTCAGCCAGAGCTGGGCTTTTAACCCTGGCATCCCTTGATGAGTGATTTTTATCAGTGGGGTTCAGTGCTCCCACCAAACCCCTGCAGCACAGCAGGTCCTCAGCTCCTTGGCAGACCAAGGTGGCTTTTATACCAAAGCCAGCAAGACTGGAAGCCCCTGGCAAGATGTGAGGGCCCCAGAACAGCCCTTTACTTTCCTGTAGCTGTTCATTTGCAACAGCTGCCATTTAAACAGCCACCCCGAGGCACAGCATTGTCCCCATTCCCCATCCCCTAATGTGGATCTGATCTCTGCTCTGTAATTGATGTAATGGCAGGAGCAGTCAACAGCATGCTACCAGTGGCCTTGGGGCCCAGCCTCATTCTCTGCTCTGATATAGGCTTTCTGTTCACCCAGCTCCCGTGCCTCAGTTTCCCTCCTGCCAGGTCTGGAAGATGGAGCTAACAGCAGTGCTTTTCTGCTGGGATCTGTCACAAGGATGTGTATACAAAGGACTAAGTGGGACCCCTTCACGTTACTCGGGTACTCTGCATTTGGGGTGTTCTCCCTTTCCATAAAACTCTCCATCAGGGAGAGATGTCCCCCTCTGTGAGGGGCTGTGAGGAGGTGTGTCCTGGTCCATAGTGAAGGAGCAGTGATGGAGCAGCCAGCATCAGTCGGCTGCATCGCCTGGCAGCGTGGAGTCCAAGGGAAGGGCATGGATCCACGCAACTAGGATGCCGCAATGCCTGCTCCGGGGGCGCACCTGGGTTTGGGTGACACACCTGGGATGCTGGCTGCACCGAGGAGTTGCCCAGGGACATTTGGCTGATCTCTATCAGCCTTGGAGATCATCCCTTTGCACATTAACTGACCACAAGCTGACACCTTCTAGTAGACAATCCTTGAGCATGCAGCAGGGCCCATGTATGCATGCAGAGCTTTCTTAGGGTTTGGGTTTCTGGGTTTTTTTTGCTTTTTGGACTTGTGGGTGTTCACTTTCCCCTCTGTCCCCTTTCTTGGGTATATAGGTAGGGTTCACTGATGGCTGTTTCCCTATCTGCTGCCTCTCACAAGATGCATGTAGGTGGCTGGACAGCAGCAGCAGAACACAGCCCTTGGCTGGAAACCCCTGCTGTCCCTGCACTTGCAGCCTGGGTATGCCTCAGCTTAGCAAGGGGTCCTTGCAGAGCTTGTGGTGTCCCCAGAGCATTTTGGTTTATCCCAAAGTGATGGCTCGTGGTTGGATGTTGTGGTTCCATGCCCTGGAGAGGTTCGTGTGGGATTATTGCCTGTATCAATGCTGCTTGGGGTGTCATGGGGTTCTTGCACCCATCCTGAGTTTATTTAGCCTCAGAAGTGCCCCTACGGTCTCTGTCCAGAGCAAAAGAGCAGTTCAAACTCTGCCCTGCCTGGCTTGGTGCGCCCAGCCCTGGGAACCTGGGACCACGCACCAGCGAGAGTGCGTAGGAGGAAAACCCGGTGTGTCCCTAGGAACAGAGTAGGTGATTAAAAGTGCTTTCTGCCCCTGTCCAAGCTCAGCAGCTTGAGCTAAAACAATGTGTAGGGGTGTACGTAAGACTGACGTCTGTGCACCATTCACGTCTCTTTTCTGACTTAATTTTAACCACAGGAGCCACAGATTAATAAGGCTTTTGTTTTATGAAAGGTAAAGTTTATAGGGAGAGATTGTATCTTTACCAGATCAATGGGAAAAATAGAGCCAGGCCTTTGCCGGGTTGGTGGGGCTGGGAGAGGCTGCCTCGCTGCTCCTGGGCTTGGGGAGGGAAGGATTGACCCACCCCAGAGGTGCTGGATCAGTGCAGTCCTCTGAGGGCAGAGGAAATCAGGGTTTACCCCATCTTCTACCTGGCTCAGAAGGCAGCTGCTGACAGGCAGGCTGGTATCAGACCAGCCAGAGGCACCGGTCCCTTCTGGTTTGGTGATCTAGGTTTGGGAGGGGAAAGGTGGTTCAAAATGCGTGAGCCCAGGCTGGCAGTCTGGGTCATCAGGTGGAAAATTGCATCACTCGATTTCAAGTATCATGATTTCAATTTTTTTTTTTTTTTTCCTTTGGCAGATGCACACAGGTCCATAGGAAAAGGCTTGATGATTTCTGCCACCTTTGCAGTGTTCTTTATTGCAACAATAAACCCTGATGTCTCAGGGTACAGACAAAGCTCAGCTGTGCCATTTTGGCATGCGCCCTCTCAGCCTGGCAGTGTGGGCTTTCTGAGGCTCTCCTTGGACTCTGGGTATGGCAGAGGTGCCCATTTCTACCTCCTGCAGCCCACAAGTCCTGCTCTGAAAGCCCCCTCAATCATACAGTGGTTCATGGAGAGCTGCAGGCACCCAGAAACCTGTGTCGGGGCCCCACTGCTATGTGCACTGGGGCTGCGCTCACAGCCTCAGAGCATGCACAGGCTTGAGGGTGCAGCGCAAGCATCCCTTCAGGCCATGGGAGATCAAATTGGCTGTGGCATTGGGTTGATTTCTGTGTCATAGGGCACAGAAGGTCCCTTCAGCAGTTCAGTGTTACAGTGAAAATCGATAAATAACTTTACATACAAAAATGTTCATGTATTAAAAAAATCATTATCTATTAAAAAAAAGAACAAACAAATCTCTTCATCATTCCCCAGACTGTATTGCCCATATGATCCTTATGGTTCTTGAGCCCTGATTCAGGAAAACTGGGGAAAAAAGTGTGCTTAGAGCAATCCCATATCAGGGCCAGCCCAGGACCACGTGCACATCTCTCCTGTAGAGACGACCTGCCCCTTGGGAAGAGGAGGCTGCAGTAAGCAAACCTGCTTGGCAGCAGTGATGCCTCCCTGGAGAGGAAGGAAAACAGGAGGGGCTGTTACAGGGAAGGGTCAAGAGGGCCAATATAAACAGGCAATACAGAGAGGAAAGATTAAAATGTTTCCCAAAGCCTTTGGTAGTCACCGGTTTGTTTTTCACATCTCTGCAGGGGAGTGATTTCCGACTGGCCATACCAGAAGTTGAAGTGGTTTCCCTTTCTTTGCCTTCCACGCCTGCGTTAGCCCCCCCATACCCACAAGGTCTCTGTGTGCAGGCAGGCACTGACTGTCCAAGGGTGCCGAGCACCTGCTGGGGAGTACATCAGTGGCATGGAGTAAGCAGGCTTTTAAGAAGGAAGGTGAGTCTCTGTATGAACCCAGGGTAATTACCATGATCCTACTCTGGACACCTTCCTTTTTTTATCTTTTTTTCTTTTAAGTACTTCAGACACACACATGCACATCCACACACAAGTAGCAAAAATAAAATCTGGACTGTGTTTGGATGATCTTCACTGACAGTTCATAAATGCCTCAACACTGCAAGGGGACATGATTCAGGCAGTGCTGGGGACCCCTCGGGACATCTGAGCAGTCTCCCAGCCCTGGGGTAGGAAGAAGGCAGATTGGTTATGGACGATCTCATCTTCCTTGTGAGAGAGTTCTTTAGGACATGATGTAGACCTCCAGCAAACTGGCCACTGCATGCATTCGGTAGAAGATCCCAAAGGGCAGGCAAATGTCCACAATGGCCGGCCACATGGAATCGCCATAGAAGTTCAGTTCTGTGTCATTGTCAAACTGGGGCCGGGCACCAAAGGCTGGCATGATCCAGAGCTGTTGAGGAAACGGGAAAATAACATTGCAGTGAGAAAGGTGTGCGGTACAGCAAGCACTTGCAATCACGGCTACCGAGAGATGGGAAAAGAGTGACCTTCTGAGCATGGGACCTATGCCAGGAGCCTGTGTTTACACTAAGATCAAGTATGATCTAGTGCTGTATCCCAAGACCAGCTTTGATTTGTGCTCAGAGACAGGCTTGAACCAAGCGCTGAAGCACTTCACCAGGGGAAGAACTTGAGCATGTTGTGTGTTAGCATGAACCTGGCCTGTTCAAACTCTTTGGATGGAGAAAGCATGGGTAGGGCTGAGCTGGCAGCAGCTTGGTCTCCCCAGGCTTGGTCATGTACGTTTTGCTCAGAAGCCCAGCCAGCATGTATATCTGGTTGCACGGAGGCTGTGAGCTCATTCTCTTTGAGATTATGTGTAAAAATCAGTTTGAGGACATGATGTGACTGACTAGCTAGGGATTTGGAGGTTCTCTAGAGACATAACGTGCTTGGCTTCTTTGGAGGTGCAGCTGTAATCCTATGTTTCTTTTGCAGGCAACTGCGGTCCCCTGGCTACTCGTGAAAGTGGAAACCCCAACTGAAGTTGTCCAGTGACCACTTTCTCCTCACAGCAACTGGGATCAGCATTTGGGCTCCTAGGCCATGGGTTTTGAGAAGACACGTGCTGCAATTTCTCAAGAAAACCAAGACTTCACGTCAGGTATTTGTCACTTTATGCCCTTTCTTTGGGGGTGTAAGGGGAAAGGGGAAGGGTGTAATGTATTTTATTGCTTTTAATAAGCTATTCTACATGTCTGCTAATACCCAATAAAAATACTGAAACTGATTCTTCTCTTGTGCCCACCAATTTTATTGTCTGAAATTCTGGTGATAAGGGACAGGTCTATTGGTGTAGGCTAAAATGTCTTAACTTCAGGGCAGTTGCTCTTGCTTTTAAATGACAAGGGAATCACAGCTCTGCACACATACAAGTATAAGTAACTATACTCTCTGTATAGTGGAGGCACAGAAAGGCCTGTTTTTTCATGGGCTACATCCTTTCCTTCACAGATACTTCTCCCTTGTGCTTGCTTCTCTCTCCCCCACCCTGACAAACTCTTCTCTCTGCATGTACTCACTATGATATTGCTTAGCAGGAGGAACATGGAGATCTCCCTCAAGAACTTCCTCCTCCAGTTCATCTTCTTGGGGGCGGTGAGGGACCGCACGAGGTCAGAAGGATGGGTGGCTTCAGTGCCAGAGGCAGTGCTAGGGGCCAAGGTGCTGCCACTGTCGGGCACACGGAGGGACACTGCATTGATGTTGACAAAGGTGAGTCCATAGAGATCCTTCTGGTGAGAATCATGCTTGTGGTCTTCCTTGGGGGGTTGCCGATGAAGGCCTTCGATAATGAAGATGTTCTGGAAGGTGTGCTGAGCAATCATTAGGAGGGCATAGGTGAGGTTGAGTGCGCTGATAGCGTCCCTTGGTGTGCTGGCTACAATAGCCACAATGGAGTAGTAAGAAATAGCATACTGCCCCAAGGCTGCACCCATCAGTAGGGCCACATCCAGGGTCCTGGTTGGGTTCTTGTGCCGATCCATGTCTCTCTTGTCAAACCGGTAGATGACAGAGCCACCAATGCAGACAAGAGACATCATGCCCAGACAAACAATGTTGAAGATGTAGTACATGGTGAGTGCTTGACTCTTCTTACTGGATTCAGTGCTGGAATTTACCTGCACCTCATACAGAATAAGGACTCCCAAACCACTCACCAGAATGATGAGGCCCAACACAATGCCTACAAAGAAGGTCCTTCGGAAAAGCCTGAACTTCAGGTGGTGGATGTGGTGGGAGTGGTGGTCTATGAAGCGTCCAACGTTCTTCCACATGACATAGACCATGGCAGAGGCAAAGAGACTGTACTCAATGTTAAAGGGGTACAGCCAAAAGTAGCCGTTCTTGAAGATCTGGCAGATTTGGCTGTTGCAATTGCATTCTTCAGCTGAGCTACTTCTCATTCCCACTGAAACAAGATAAAAACACATAGATGCAGTGGTATTAAAACAACGAGCCAGCACTTGTTAGCAGCCCTGAAGAACTGGATACTTAGGGTCAGTGAACAACAAGACCAAGGACAGAAGAATATGTGACCACTTTGAAAACAAGGATACTTCAACCTCAGTTTTCTGGTGCTCATGTTCTTTCTGAAGAAGTTAGGTAGCAGGTTAAATCTCTCTTTTTCCATCCCTTCCTCATTCCCATACCATTTGTACAGGGCCTTCCACCTTTCTGACTCCTCTGTGATACAGGTTAAGAAATGAACGTTAAGACCTGGCTTTTAACATACCAGCTCTGTTAAAGGAACATTCAGCTCTAGACAGGCCTTCTGAAAAGGGATAAAACCTGACTTGCAGAACAATTCCTACCTTATGGGCTCCCTCCCTGGACCAGATGGCTTCACAAATGGGCAGATTACCTTTCAGGAGCCATCTGAAGATTTCATCTGTCACGTTCTTCTTCAACTTTGAATGTGCTTTGTGAACAGACTCATCCGTCACTGCTGACATCCACACTGCTAAGTTTGTAGTCAGTGTTAGCATCAAACCACACCTGCAGAAGAAGGAGAAGGTTCACGAGATTAAACCAATGGCTCTAAGCTATATTGCTCCCATCCGTGTTACAGATGCGCATGTGCTCAGAGGGACTGTGGGAGCTGCCTGAAGTGATGCAAGGACTCTAGTGGTCAAGGCTGGAAATCCTGACCCTTGCTTTGCTGCTCTCGCTCTCATCCTATTTTTTGTCTGTGCTCATGAGAATTAGGAAGGCCTGATTCCCCCTGCTGGTTTTGGAAGAACTGCTCAATAGTGAATAGATTAATAGGTCTGGATTGGTCTCCAGTAGATCCAGTCTTTCAAAAGTGGACAAGATCTTGTTTTTGCTTGAGGCTTGCCCACTGCATTGTTGTCTTCCCCAGGTGTTGTGGTTTAACCCCAGCTGCCAACTAAGCACCACACTGCCACTCGCTTGCCCTCCCCCCTGGTGGGATGGGGGAAAGAATCAGAAGGGTAAAAGTAAGAAAATTCATGGGTTGAGATAGGAACAGTTTAATAATTGAAATAAAA